AAAGAGGAACAAACTGGGGGGGAGGGTAGAGAAAATAGTGAAACAATGAATGAATGGAAACCCAAAATCTCTGTAAATGTTCATTAAAATTAGTAAAATTCAATAAAAAAAAGATTGACACAGGATAGAGCAGAATTTAGGACTGTTGTACATAGGGTCACTATGATTCAGAGGTGAGATGACTGCACATAACAACAATATTTCATTACATTAGGCAATTTTTCATCCATTAAATCTGTGACAGTGTTATCTGTACTTTCCCCCCCTTTGTCTCATTTTGGAGTTCTGATTGCATGCCAGTGATTTTTCATATTAGGCAACTTTTATTCTTATAAAACTTTGACAATTTTACCTGTGCTTTTTTCATCTCTTCTTATTGTGGAATTCTTATCACATTTAGGTGATTTCTCCTCATGATGTCCCAAATATTCTTCGGGATCTTTCTGTGTTTCTTTAATCTAGAGGTTTGTCTGTGTTTTACCTTCCCAGTGAGTTTCTTGAATTTCTTCTCAATCTATTGAAAATGGTAAAACACCATTCTTTTGACTTTCCATTTTAGATGGTTTTAATTTCTTCATCAGATATTTTTCTGGTTCTGCAGTTTGGTCACTTGTTTGGGCTACTTTGTCTTGTTTCTTTGTATGAATTGAGATTGTCTTAAGACATGTTGGTGTTACTGAAATTATATTTAATTGGTGATTGTTTGTTGTGTGATTTACCCATTTTTTTTGCTGTTTGCTTTGTTTTTTAGTTTGTCATTGGACAGGGACGCGATTCTTGAAAAGGTAGAGGGACAGAAAAGTAGTGGAAGACCCTCAACCCTGTGGATTGACACAGTGATTGCAGCAAGGGGCTCAAATGTGTCAGAGGTGGTGAGGACGGCACAGGATAGGACAGGGTTCTGATCTGTTGTTCATAGAGTCACTATGAGTTGTACTCAGCTGGATAGGCTGTAACATCAACAATAACAAATCATACAGGGTGGATGTGTTATTCTGCTTCTAGTATGTCATTCCTTAGGTGTTCGTTGCCTGATACCTTGTGGATGCGAAAAAGAATGAGAATGGGTGAGTAGACTCTGTCCACTGTTTGGGCAGAGCAGTTGAGGGTGGGTAGTTTGGCTGATATTGGCTGTTTTTCTATTGTTGATCTAGTGGTGCAAGAGTGGGTGGTGGCCCTCACCTTCCTGTGTCATTTTGATATCAAGGTTTTCTAGGAAGAATTAAAAAGCAGTCTCTTTTGTGGTCTGTTTGCTGAGGAATCTGAATATAATGGAAATTATCCGCTTCTGAAAGATTAGTACAATTAACTTATAAAACCAGCTGAGATGTTTTCTTTATATGAACATTTTAAACAACTGATTTCGTTTCTTTTATGGTCACAGGGCTAATTAAGGTTCTAACTACTTCTGGGCCAGTTTTTGTAAAAGAAATCTTTATAGTAATTTATCATTTTATCTACATCTTAAAAGTTAGTGTTATTAATATTATTCTTTTATTACTTTTTTCTACCTATATTTCACCATACTTACTGTTTCCTTTTTTATTAATAATATCATTTATGCATATTTTCTCTATTTGGCTTAATCAGTCTCACCAATTTCCTTTAAAAAGAATCTTTTCAGATAATCCATGGTTTTGTTGATCTCCCTTTGTTTTTGGGTTTTTTAAATTTGTTGACTCATTTTCAGTTGATCTTAATTTCTGAGAAACTGGGGGGAAAATCTTCTCCACAAAGGATTTGTATTTTTTATTGTTAGGAACCTGGAGTGACACAAATTGGGGGCCACACTGGGCTCCCTCCTGTGGTGCCTGTTTTATCTAGGATGCTCTGGATCCTGCGTTTCTCACCTTGCCAAGGTCCAAGTCTAGTCTCCCATTACAATGCCAATGTAAACACAAGTTCCTGGGCTAATCCCACATTTTACATGTAAATATGGTCACCTTGAATTTTTGTTTTTCTTTGTTTCTGGCACTTTGGAAAATTTCCCCATTTCCTGAAGTTCAACAGTGCAAAACAATGATTTGAGGGAGCTCTGGTGGCCTAGTGGTAAGGAGCTGTGCTCCTTACCAAAGACACACAGTTCAAATTCATCAGCTGTTCCACAGGAGAGAGATGTGCAATCAACACCTATGACTTACTACCTCTGAAAACCCACTGGAGGGTCAGCTATTGGTTGGTTCTGACCTGATGGTACTCAACAACAGTTGCTTTGAAACAGAAAGACCCCTATTATCTCGTCTGAAGTAGCCTGTAGAAGTTCTACAACACTCTTCATCCATTGCATCTGGCTTTCTTCCCACTATCTCTACTGAAAACGACTATCTGGCTTTCCCATGAGATTGCCCTCTGGCAGAGGGCCATCCACACTGTTATACAGTTGTCTCAGTGCTATAAGAGAGTAACAAATGTTTGCTGAATAAATGAAAGAACAACTGAATGATTGAGTGAGTGATGATTTTGGAGCAGATAATTGGGGTTTTAGAAAGAAGGTGGAGGATAGTGAAACAAATGAAAGAGAAAGCAATTGACATTTTAGAAGCTATTTGTTTTGTTGTTCTTGCTTATTTGGGAAAAAGAAAGTTGTCATTTCATTTCATCAGAAGTTTATTGAGCACCCAGAATGTGCTAGGCACTGTGCTAGATGCAAATAATACAAAGATAAAGATCAAAAACCCCAAAATAGCCCTCTTTCTTATTTCCCCTCATGTCCTGTTTAAGGCAAGTTTGGCTTGAGCCTGGGAAGCTGGCACTTCAGGGATTCAATATCAGGATAGATCTTGTCTCATCCCAACTTTCACTTCTGCATCACCAGGCTGACAGGCATGCATCCTTCTCCAATCCTTGCAACTCCTATTGGCCTGAGGAACTTTCTCCTGCATGCACTATCTTATGGAGGAGGCACTTAGAAAGGTTGAGGAGTTGGTTCAGGCTAATCTATTGAGCAGCTAATTGGTTTGCTGCAAAGGAACACCTGCTCAAACGTGCATGAGCAAGTGGGCACAAGGATAGGTGCTGGGCGGGGCATGTGGCTCGGGGAGAAGGCAGAGGGGAAATGCTGTGGACCTTGAGTCCTGGGTCAACGTTTGTCCTGGTGTGGAGGTGCTGGGTAACAGGAACCTGGGGTAATGTGGTGAGATTGGTGGAGGAGAGTTAGAGCTGGAGCTTAATATATGGGAGAGAGGCCAACGGAGCAAGGACCCGCTAGATGCATCAAGGAGGAAAGGACAAAATACACAGAGGGCCTTCCTCTCTTTCAGCTTTTTAATTGCCCACTCTCCTCACACAGTTGATTATTTTATCTCCTATGAACTGTACAGGTGATGGTGGCACGGGGACCGCCTGGCTACATATGGCCCCGCTCAGTCCCTCTGTATTCTGAGGTTAGTGTCATTAGGGGGTCTGCCCCAGTCCTGCTCCCTGGACCTGGGCAGGTCGGTCGTTGGAGGCGTATGTTCCCCTGACAGCCTGGGAACAGTAAATCTTCTCCTCCCATAATTTTTTCACACATTGGAAACTTATTCTATTATGGTGAGAGGAACCTCAGTACCTTTGCCACCTGGCTGGGGCAGTGATTGTTTGAAAGGCTTGCTGTTGTAAGGAAGGAGGGATAACGTGTGGGTTTAAAGAATTAAAAAGAGTTCCTCACATGAGCTAGTTTCCTGAGCCGGGGGTGGGGTGGGGTGGTGGTGATGAGTTCCTCATCTCTATAAGAAAAAGCCTACCCCTCCTGCACTTAGGAACGGTGACAGAAAGAATGCCAGGTAGGTTGTTGATGAAGGCTGGTGGTCAGGGGACAAAGGGTTGTACCTGTGCTCCTCCTTCGCCAATCTGTGGGCACCAGAAAGCAAGTGGCCTGAGAAGCGGGCTCCCAGGCCCTGCTTTCACCGTCATTCCCTAGTGTCTTGTGCACCCACAGCTGACATGTGGCTTCTCTTTAGTTCAAATTGTACATTTTTGGGGAAGCGGCCTCCCTAATCTGGGCTTGTCAAAAAAAACAAAAAACAAACAAACACACAAACAAAAAAACTCCAAGCTTCCAGGGATATGGTGTTCCTTAAGAGGGAAAGCGTGAGACAAGCCTGTCTTAGGAAGAGCACAGGACATCACGGGGTTAAATTACTGACGTTAGTTTCCTTAGCGATCCTGGGGGAATGGGCCGGAAATTCCACCTAGATGGGCCTACAAGGGCACAATCCACACCCACAGAGAACACAGCTACACTAACAGCCCCTAGCAGACGCAGCCAGCACCCCACACCCCACCAGCTCAGCTCCAAGCTCGCACCGCGCTCCCTCTGCGTGCGGGCACGCGGCCCCTCCTCCGGACGCCGGCCTGGCCTGCGCAGCGGCTCACGCGCTGATCTCCACCGGGCCGGACTCGTCTTGCTCGCGGATTAGGTGCACACCCGCAGTCCGCAGAGTGCGCGAGGCACTGCGCGAGCGGCCGGGGGAGCTGGGAGCCCGCGGCGGCGACGTGTGTGTTCGGGCTGCGGCGGGCGAGCGCACTGGGGAGCGCGGATAGCGGCGGGCGGAGCGAATGGGCAGCCCGGGCGAGCGGCCAGGGACGCCTGGGGACACCGAGTAACCGGGCGGCCCCGGCTCTGTCGCACTCCGAGGCTCCGGGGCGGGGTTCTCCTCAGGCTCTGGGGAGTCCTGCAACAACAGACGCTGCCCGGGTCAGCATTTTACTAGGGTAAATGTTTGGGATGACAGAAACCAAGCTATGGTGCCTTAGTGGTAAGAAAGTGCACCAAACCAAAGGCACGCAGTTCGAACCCAAAAGCTACTCTACAGGAGGAAGAAGGGCCATCTCCCATGTGATTTAATTGCCTCTGAAGGGTCAGCTATGAGTCAGTTTTGACTGTCCAGCACACAGCATCAGCAGTTGCCAAAGTCAATCCCAACTCAAGGGGACTCTGTCCCATTGGGTTTCCAACCATAGGAAATAGGTTATGTGTTGGACTCTTAAAGGAAAGGTTACTAATTGGACACCACCCCCTCCCCAGTTCCTTCTGCAGTACAAAGATGAGAAAGGCCTGTTTACATTTACAATCTCCAGGATCCCTAGGACTTTGTGGCAGTGCTTAATCTTTATGGAAGCTGACAGCTATAATCTTTAATCTTTAAAGATTAAGGAAGAAATAATTATGCAAGACATTGCCATAATCTGTATAGAAAACTGCTGTGCAGCTGTTGTTGTTAAGTGCCGTCTAGTTGACCATGACTCAGCAGTGTTATGAAAACAGACCTGAATCTTGTCCTATCCTGTGCCCTTCTTACCATCCCTAATATGCTCGAGCCCATTGTTACACTCACTATGTCAATCCATCCTGTTGGGAGAAGGGGTCTTCCTCTCTTCCTCTGACCCTCCACCTTACCCAGCGTGGTGTCTTTTTCCAAGGACTCATCCCTCCTGATGATACGCCCAAAGTACGTGAGACAAAATTTCACCGTCCTTGCCTCCAAGGAGCACCCTGATTGTACTTCCTCTAAGACGACTGTGTTTGCTCTTTCGGATATTCAGGACTCTGACACCACAATTCAAAGGCATCAATTACTTTTTCAGTCTCTCTTACTCATGATCCAGTTTTAAGATGTGTAGGAAGCAACTGAAAATATTATGGCTTGGATCATTCACACCTTAGTCTTTAAAATGAGAGTGTTAAAGACAGAATTTCCCAATGAAACAAGTCATTTTATTATTTCTTGGCTGCTGTTATCATGACTTTTATTGTAAATTCAAGTAAAATGAAATTATTGACAAATTCAGTATTTTCTCTATCACCTGTATCCCAGTGGTGAGGATTTTTCCCTGATGTTGAGGTATAATCCATATTGGAGGCTGTAGTCATTGATCTTACGCAGCAAGTACTTTGAGTTCCTTTCATTTTCTACAAGGTATGTCATCTGAATACCTCAGGTTGTTGATGTGTCTTCCTCCAATCCTGATGCCACATTCTTCTTTATATAGTCTAGCTTCTTAGTTTCCTCAGCAACTGACTGAATAGGTATGGAGAAAGAATACGATCCTGACACACACCTTCTTGATTTTAAAACATGTAGTGTTTCCTTTTTCTGTTTGGACGACTGCTTCTTGGTCTATATATAGGTTTTGTGTGAGTGTAATTAAATGTTCTGGAATTCCCATTCTTCTCAAGGATATACATAATTTGTTATGATCCTTATAGTCAAAAGACTTTGCATCGACAATATAAAACAAATAAACATCTTTCTGATATTCTCTGCTTTCAGCAAAGATCCATCCAATGATATTTCTTGCACTACAGCCTCTTCTGAATACAATTTTAATTCTGGCAGTTTCCTTTTGCTATATTGTTCCAGTTCTTTTAGAATAAACTTCAGCAAGATTTTACTTGGATATGATATTAATGATATTGTATGATAATTTCCACAGTCTGTTGTGTCACCTTTTTAAAAAAAAAAAAGGAAACAAATATTGATCTAGCTAGCTGGCCAGGTCTTCCAAATTTATTGGCATGACTAGTGAGCATGTCCAAGGTTGTATCTGTTTGTTGAAACATGCCAATTGATATTCCATAAATTCCTAGGCCTTATTTTCTGCCAGTGTCTTCAATGAAGCTCGGACTTCTTTCATTTATGGTTCTTGATCATATGTTACTTCCTGAAATGGTTCAATGTCAACCAGTTCTTTTTGGTACAGTGACTCTGTATTCCTTCCATCTTCTTTTGATGTTTTCTGCATCATTTAAGATTTTTTGCCTGTGGCATCCTTTACCATTGCAACTTGAGGGATGAATTTATTTTTCAGTTGTTTCAGTTTGAGAAATGCCAAATACTCTTTCCTTTTGTTTTCTAACTCCAGCTCTTTGCATATTTCATTATGATACTTGGTTTTGTCTTCTTGAACTGCATACTTGGTTTTGTCTTCTTGAACTGCCCACGGAAATATTCTGTTCATTTCTCTCACTCCAGCGTTTCTTCCCTTTGTTTTGGCCTCTTTACATTCTACTACAATTTTTAGAATCTCTTCTGACATCCATTTTGGTATTGCTTTATTCCTGTCCTTATAATGATCTTTTGCTCCCTTCATGGTTGATATCTTTGATGTCATTCCAAAAGTCATCTGGGCTTTTATCATTAGTGCTCAATGCATTAAATCTATTCTTGAGACAGCTGGTGGGGTACAACCACTGACTTTTACATTGATAATCAAGTGATTTAATTCCTGTGCCTCTTAGACTCCTCTGTTACATGATGAGTGCTCAATACACACTGAAATGCATTGATTTAAGCGTTTTGTCCCTTTGTTTGTTGTTGAGCAGCCAGAGACAGAAATTAGCTGTGGTGTAAAGTGGTGTGGTGTGGTGTGGTGTGGTGTGGTGTGGTATGGTGTGGTGGACAGTCAGTAGAGCTGATGTCAGCTTCTAGGCTGGTGGTTTGATATGCCTCTGACTGTTTTGCTTCATCCTGGGCAAATCGTCTCACTTCTCTGCCTCATTCTTGTAGTCTCTAAAACAGTGCTGGAAACCCCATGTGGAACAGCCCTACTCTATTCTCCAGGGTGGCGGTGAATCAGTATCAACTAAACTACAGCAAGTTTGGTTTTGCCTTTAATCTTTATGAAGGCAGTTGTTGTTATGTGCCGTCGAGTCGCTTGCAACTCATAGCAACCCTACGTACAATGGCCCTAAACTCTGCTCTGTTCTGTGCCAATCACACTGTCTCTGACACTCCCATCCTGATTACCCCAGTCACTGAATCAATCCACCTCATAGAGGGCCTTCCCCTCCTGCGCTGTCCCTCTACCCTCCCAAGCATGATGTCCCTCTCCAATGACTGGTCTCTCCTTACAACATGTCTAAAGTATGTTAGACGGAGCCTCAGAATCTTTGCCTCCAAGGAATCACCCGGTTTGACCCTTTCCAGGATGAATCTGTTTGTTTTCCTAGGAGTCCATGGTACCCTCAATACTATTCTCCAGCACCACAGCTCAAAGGCATCAATTCTCCTATCCTCCTTGGTCATTGTCCAACTCTCTGATGCATAAAAATTGATTGCAAAGACCATGGCCTATATCAGACACACCTTAGGCTCCAGAGAGACACCATTGCTCTTCAGTACTTTGGAGAGGTCCCTAACAGCAGATTTTCCCATGGCAATACGTCTTTTAATTTCCTGGCTACTGGTGCCAAGAGTGTTGACTGTGGAGCCAAGCAAACCAAAGCTGTGAACAATCTCAATCTCTTCACCATCCATCCTGATACTGCCAACTGGCCCAGTGGTGAGAATCTTTGTCTTCTTAATATTGAGCCTCAATCCATATTTGAGGCTGCAGTCCTTGACCCTCTGCAGCAAGTGCTTCAGGTCCTCCTCAGTTTCAGCAAGCAGGGTTGTGCCATCTGCATAACGCAGATTGTTGATAGATCTTCTACCAATCTTGACCCCACATTTCTCCTCATAGAGCCCAGCCTCCTGGATAATCTGTTCTGCATACAGGTTGAAAAGGTATGGAGATAGGACACATCCCTGGCATACGCCTTTCCCAATTTTGAACCGTGCAGTGTTCCCTTGCTCTGTTCTGACGACTGCCTCCTGGTCCAAGTATAAGTTTCGCATTAGAATGATCAAGTGTTCTGGGATTCTCATTCTTCTCAGAGTCAGCCACAGTTTGTTACGATCCACACTGTCAAATGCCTTTGCATAGTCAATGAAACACAGATAGACATTCCTCTGGTATTCTCTGCTTTCAGCTAAGATCCATCTAACATCAGCTACAATATCCCTAGTACCATGACCCCTTCTAAACCCAGCCTGGACTTCTGGCAGTTCTCTGCTGATGTGCTGATGGCAGTTAGGCAGCCCTTTTCTTCTGTAGAGTTAGGCAGCCCTTTTCTTTTGCAGAGCCGTGCTTAAAGTCCAGCTGCCCACCTTAGCAACCCAAACCTGACATTGTCACAGGGTTATTCTCAGCCCTGTAAACCAAACTCCTCCTGCTGAGCTGATTCTGGCTCAAGGTGACCCTCCACTGGGCATCCAAGGAAGAAACTGCCCATTTTCTCCTGTAGAGGCACGGTTGGTGAGATTGCATTCCAACCTTTTAGTTCACAGCTGTACACTGAACCCCTAGGGATTCTAAATACTATAATGGATATCTATATGATCGAGCGAATTGTGCAAGGGGGGCATGTTTGTGGTGCTCACAGCCCGGAGTGGCTCACCTTGTCCTTTATGATGTACAGAGCCATGGGATTCTTGCGCTCCTGATCGCTGCTCCGTGGGAGGGTATCTGCTGCACAGGGGAGAAGGATTTGAGGCTGGCCCAGGTACAAACCCTCCCCAACAGTCAGCACCTACACTTGCTCCCCAAGTGGCCACAGTCACGGCCCCCCCAACCTCCACCTGAGGATCCCCAGTACCCAGGCTCCTACCTTGGCTGCACCTCTCCCTGCTCTGCAGTCTTCGTGCAGTTGGTGGAGGAAGGGACCCTGCAGGGCGGGCTTCCTGGTGGCCCACTTCCGCCTTTTCCCAGCAGCCCACTGATCTGAGTGCAGATGGGATGGGTGAGTGGGTGGATGGGAGCTCACCTTCTGCTTTCAGACGCTCATCATTCTGATCCATGTATTCCAGGGAATTTTGCTTCTCCAGCTTCCTCTTCTTCCTGCAAATCAATACAGATCCCAATTATGTGTGATAGGGTCTGAAAGTGGCCTGGGGAGAGGGCACAGAAGGGAGCAGATGGTTTTAAACGGAGCTTTGTGACAGGAGGATGAGCTGGGTGGGGTGGGAGTACTTTCCGGTGGTGGAGTGTGCATTCTGGGCCTACTACTTACTGGCATCTGAATTGTGGGAAAATAATTTAACCCATTTTGGTCTCAAGGTTATTATTTGTAAACTGCAAGGCTTTGAGGACTAAAATATGACATGGTAACCACAATTTACAGCACCTGACACAAAGAAGGAACACAATAAATGAAGCCCATCTTTAAGTATGCTTTCATTCTGGCTCAATAGTATATAACAACAACAAGTGGTAATTTAGGCTTATGAGCTAAGAGCATGGTTCTTTGAGCAATAGGAGTTGGATTTCCTGCCCAATGATGCATAGTCCCTCAGAGAAAAGACACTCAGAGTAAGAAAAGACAAGAGCTCAGGTGGTTTAGTCTGTAAGGTATCACAGTGTGTCTCTCTGGCAGTTTGAATCCATCAGTGACTCTGTGAGAGAAAGGCAATCCCCTCCTAGGCAATCTGCAGCCTTGGAAACTCAGTGAGTTTGAGTGTTTGAAGAAAAGACTTGAGCTTGGAGTTAGACCGGATTACAAGCTTAGGGTGCTCAAAATGCTGAATTTGGAGATTTACCCAGACTTCTTGGATGGTTTCCAGCAGGCACAGACGGTCACCAAGGTCACAAGGAGAAAGATGCCTCCTGTTGACAAGATGATGTAGAGGGAGCTTCTCCCTGGGAAGAGAGAAAAGCAGAGAGACAGAGAGACTTTTGGGTGGGTAAGGGGTAAGGCCAAGGAGGAGCTTCCTAGAGACAGGGGCGAAAAGGAGCCCCAGGCAGAGTTGTTCGCTGAAACAGCACACACTGAGCTGCTTCTTTTTTGTGCTGACCTCCACAGATGGTTGGCACACCTCGCTTGCACACCCTTCTAGGGTACTCTGTGATGCCTCGGTCCCGCACAGGCACCTGTCTCTGGGTATTTTAAGTCCCAGGGAAGCCACAGGAAGACTCACTGTAAACGGTGATCTTGACAGGCAGGCTGCGCCCCTGGCTGATGGGGTTCTCCACCACACAGCTGTATAGGTCATCATCCTCCATGAGCACACGGGTGATGGTGAGCACCTTTTGGTCAGGGGACAGGAGCATGCGAGAGTCGTTGAGCAGGGGCTTGCCGTCCTTTAGCCAGGTGTAGCTGGGTTTGGTGCCGTTCTCGTGGGAGCAGTTCAGGGTGAAGGTCTCACTGAGCTCCAGCACAGTGGTCGAAGCCACTACCACCTGCGGCCTTGAAATGGGCACTGGGCCCCAGGGGTGGGCAGCCAGTGAATCACTTCATGTTAGTGATTTTCTCCCTTCTCTTTTTCAACTCCCAACCTTCTGATGCACCACAACAAATTGTGTGGGCTGAGGAGACCCCTTTAAAGTCGTCAACTCAGCTCTCTCACCATTTCTACCCCCGCCCCCAACTATTTATTGAGTATCAACTAGGAATTGTCTACACAATGTGAAACAAGAGAGGTCAGCTCCTGCCATACACATACATTCTTCCCACATACATTTCCAAAACTGCTGGGCTTTAATGTCTCGAACTGGCTGAGTTCAGGAATTTCTATTTGAGCTATGTCCCAACTAATAGAAAAACAACAACAGCCCTACCATCAAGCCAGTTCTGACTCAGGGCAATTCTCTGTCAGATTTCCAAGGCTGTAAATCTTTATGGGAGGAGACTGCCCAGTTTCCTTTCAAGGAGTGGCTGGTGGATCTGAACTGCCAACCTTTTGGTTAGCAGCTCAACTCATAATGCCCTACACCACCAGGGTTCCTTGAGCTAAATCCAGGGTACAAATCTTAGCTTCATCATTACAACTTTGTGCAAGTCACTAAACTGCTCTGTATCACTTTCCTCGTGTTTCAAACAGATGCAATGATATTATCTCTTGTGGCCTAGTGGTGAGGACCTGTGGAAAGGCAGGCATTTCAAATCCACCAGCTGCTCTGTGGGAGAAATATGGGCAGTCTTCTCCTGTGTGATTTACAGACCTTGAGAACCCACTGGGAGGTCAGCTATGAGTCAGCTCCAAGTCACCAGACAACAACAACAATACATCTCTAGATTATTAAGGGGCCCTGGAAACATACCTTTTAAACAGCTGCTACAGAAAAAGAATAATTGGAAGTTGGAACTCATCTAGCAGCTGTGTGGAAGAAGATCTGGTAATCTACTTCTATAAACATTACAGCCAAAACCGTAACAGAACCAAACCCCAAACAACAACCAAAATTCCTACAGGCTGTTCTATTCTGTCATATGTTGTCTCTGAGTTAAACTGTTTTGAAGGTACTAGACAACAACAGATTATTATTATAAAAATGAAATGAGTCAATATATGATAGTTGTTGTTGTTGTTGTGTACAAAGAGTCAGAACTGACTCATAGCTGACCCTCTGGCCGGTTTTCAGAGGCAGTTAATTGCATGGGAGGAGATTGCACATCCTTCTCCTGCAGAGCAGCTGGTGGCCTTGAACCACGTGCCTTCTGGATTGCAACACAGCTTCTTGCCTCTAGACCACCAGTGAAGCACTTGGAATGGTTTCTGGAACCTCATAAATACTTTCTATGTGTTAGCTGTGCCCACTGACTCTTTAGTTCACTTTTGGACTGTCCTCCTCGGGGTCTAATGTGCTGCTGTAATGGCATAATTGTTAAATGTTTGACTGTTGGCAAAAAGGTCAACAGTTGAAATCCACCAGCTGCTTCATGGCAGAAAGATGTGCTCGTTTTCTTTCATACAGACTCACAGCCTTGAAAACCTAGTGTGACTACAGTTTATAGTCTTGGAAACCTGGGGCGGGGAGTGGGGGGCACTTCTACTCTGTCTAGTAATGTTGCATGGTTGTTTCATCTGTTTTCTTTTTAGGATGTGGACCCCCAGATGTTTCCCCAGGCCCTGCCTGCCTGTGCCCTACAGAGCCCTTTACCATCCACAGTGAGGTTGATAGTCTTCTCTCCAGTGAAGGTGTCATCTGTGATGGAGATCTCCACCTCGTAGGTACCCTCGTCGGCCAGCTGCAGGTCACTGAGAAGCAGGGAGCCATTTTCAAAGAGCCTGATGCGATCTCGATAGTCCGGCCTCAGGGTGCCAATGATCTCTGTGCCAATGGACTGCACCACGGTCACTGGTTTGTCCCGCTTCAGCTGCCACTTGACCACAGGTCTGTCACTGCTGGTGCTGCTATACTGCACAGAGAGCAGGGCTGCCTTCCCGACTGTGCCGTGGATCAGGCGCACTGGGCTGGTGATGTTCACTCCCTCCAGGCGGTCTGTGGACAGAGGTCCATGGCAAGAGGACGAGTCATGCCATGATTCCTTTTATTCTCACCTGTAAGCACTCTCAGTGCCTTACCCTTCTGGGCCCATTACTCCCTGCTGTCAGGTAGTCCTTGTTTCTTATCTTTAGGTGCAATCTCTTCTCCCATTGTAGCCCTGTGTCCCTCTGTCATCCCTCACTCTCACCTCATTGTCCTCAATCCTTCCTCTGCCTTCCTAACATATTTTTCTTCCTGTAGCAGAAGATTCCAGCCAACCTACACTCACAGAAATGATTATTGAGCTACTAAGTAGCAGGCATAATTCTGTATAAAGAAAATAGAAAAAAATCTCTACCCTCAAAGCTAATAGGCCATTGACTGGACTCCAGGATGAACTAGTCAGATAGACTTATGACTGCTTTTAAAGTAGTCTCTTCCACTCTTAAAATGGTATGATTCTAACATACTTGACAGGTAACAAATCAGAGAATTTCAGATATTGGAGACTCCTGGAGATAATCTAATTATTAGAGACTGAAATGCAAACATTGGGAACAATGAGGAAGAAATGGTAGTCAGGAAATATGGAGGTGGTGACAGAAATGAGATAGGAGAATGAATAATTGAAATTTATTTACTCAATGATTTGTTCATGGCAAATACTTTTTAAGAAATATAAATGGCAGCTTTACACACCAACTTTACCTGATGGTCACCATAAGAATTAGATTGACTACTTATACAGAAAGAATCACTGGAGAAACTTAATTTCAGGAGTCAAAATCTTTCCAAGTGTTGGCTGGGGAATAGACCATCATTTACTCATGAGCAAGTTAAAGCTGCAGAAGATTAGCACAAATTCACAAGAAGCTAAATATGACCTGGAGTCCATTCTACCTGAATTAAAAAATAATTTTAAGAACAGGTTTGAGGCATTGATCACAAATGATAGAAGAACAGAGAAGCTGTGGAATAAAATAAAGAATATCATCCATGAAGAGACCAAAAGGTCATTATAAAGACAAAGGAAAAAAGCTGAAATAGAAGTCAGAAGAAACATGAAAATTGCGTTAGAACACCAAGAAGCTGAAACAAAGGGAAGAGATGCTGACATAAAAGAGCTGAACAGAATATTTCAAAGGGCAACTTGAATATATATTCTCTCATTCTTCATTATGCCTGGGAAGTTTTCTTCTAGTAATCCACAACTTTTTCAGTGCCTTTACTTGCTTCTTCCTGTTCTGGGATTCCAATGATATGTATATTATTTCTCTTGATGGTGTCCCACATTATTCTTAGGTTTTCTTCTTTTTCCTTCCTTTTTGATTCTACTTTTTGCTCTAGCAGATCAGTGGTGAAAATTCTATCTTCTATTTCACTGGTTCTGTGTTCCATCTCTTCAACTCTGTTCATGTGTCCCTCCATCATGTTGACAGCATCTGAGACATTGGACCTCATATTTTGGATGTGGTTTCGTGTTTTTCCAGAGCCTCAAATGCCTCGTTAGTTTTATCTGCATTGTTTTGGATTTTTTTTAAGCTTCTCCTGGTTTTTTCTTGCAGTGACCTGTAATTTTTCAAGTTTGTCTTTCACCCATTGAAAATATTCAATCATTGTTCTTTGAAATTCTATGTCAGAAAGTTCCATCAGACTTTGTGGCTTCAGGAAGTCCATTGATACTGTGTCACTTTTGGGGGAGTGATATCTTGCTTTGGGCTTGTGTAGGGTGTGAGATATCCTGCTTCTTTCATGACCTTGCAGCAGTAGAGTATTTCATGCTTGAAATGATGATAGGTGCTTGATCTGAAGTCTTTGCTAAAGAAGAGGGCATGGCAGTTACGCTGCCTGTGTTTCTCTCTGAACTTGTGAACTAAGGGAAGTTTCTGTTCAGGGTCTATGAAGGTGGCCTCTTCTGTTGGATAATTGTTGCAGCTAAGTCAGACCAAGGCACTCTGAATTAAAGGCAGTTAGTTAAGTGGATGTGAGGAGATGTGAAGCTGAGTGTGGGATGAGCACGGGCGGGGCAGGCACAGGTGCAGGCGTACACTGGGCAGGCATGCATATAGATACTTGTCGGGTGGGGACCTCACTCAGATTCTAGCTGTCCATGTGGGCACGTGTAGGAACATTACTCAAGTTGCAGCTGTCCAGCTCGTGCCTGATGGGGCTGGCTGTCTAGGTGGGCACTCTGTCATATATGTTCTTAAAAGAAATTATTTCTTTTCAGCATTGATTCCTTGCTTGCTATTTCCAGAGGGTGTTTTCCTGTTAAGAGGCTCTTTCTTCTCTTAAAAATACATAGCATTGTTGTGCAAACCAGCTCCACACTCCAGATGAGTAAACTTTGAGCAAGCTGTGCCTTTCAATGACCTCAAAGGGCAACTTGAGAAGACAAAGCAAAGTATTATAATGAAATATGAAAAGAACTGGAGTTAGAGAATTAAAAGGGAATAGCTAGCTTGGCATTTCTCAAGTTGAAAAAACGAAAAATAAAACAAACAAACAAACAAACAAGCCTTGAATTGCAAGATGTCATAGTATGGACAAAATCTTGAATGATCCAGGAATCATTAAAAGAAGATGGAAAGATTACACAAAGTCACTGTACCCAAAATAATGGTCAACAGTAAAAAATTCAGGAAACATTATATGATCAAAAGCTGATGGTAACAAAGGAAGAAGTTCAAACTGTGCTGAAGACACTGGCAAAAAAAAGGCTCCAGGATAGGATAGGATACTGACTGACATTTTTCAACTAAGAGATATAACCCTGGATGTGCTTACTAGTCTAAAGTTGGAGGACAATTGACTGGAAAAGATCTGTATTTGTTTCCATTCCCAAGAAAGGTAATCTAACAGAACGTGGAAATTTTCAAATAATATCATTAATATCGTGCAAAATACTGCTGAAGATCATTAAAAAATGATTGTAGCAGTGCGTTGATGGGGGACTGTCAGAAGTTCAAGGTGGCCATGGCACTGATTATCATAATCATTGCTGATTATCAGATGGATCTTGACATCTTGACTGAAAGCAGAGAAAACCAGAAGAATGTCTGTCTGGTTTTATTGACTATGCAAAGGCATTTGACTGTATGGATCACAACAAGTTAACACTGAGAAGAATGGGAATCATAGAACACTTAATTGCACTCATGTGAAATTTATACCTAGATGAAGAAGCTATTAATCAAACAGAACAGGAAACACTGTATGGTTTAAAATCAGGAAGCGTGTGCATCAGTGGTGTATCCTTTCTCCATACCTATTCAGTCTGTATGATGAGCAAATGATTCATGAAGCTGGACTCTATGAAGAAAAATGTGACATCAGTGTCAGAGAAAGATTCATCAAAAACCAGTATTAGGCAGATGAAATGACCTTACTTGTTGAAAGCTAAGGGGACCTGAAGCACTTGTTGCAAAAGAGCACAGACTACAGCTTTCAATATCGATTGTATCTTAACATCAACAATACAAAGGTCTTACCACTGAACCTCACAGATTGTGTTCATGTGAATCCTATACTTAGACCAGGTAGCAGTCCTCAGAACAGAGCAAGGAAAAACTGCAAGTTTCAAAATCAGGAAAGGAATGCACCCTTTCTCCATGCTTTTTCAATTTATATGCAGAACAGATCATTCAGGAGGTTGGACTTTATGAGGAGGAGTGTGACATCAGAATTGGAGGAAGACTCATAAACAACCTGTGTTATGCAAATAACACAACCTTGCTCTCTGAAACTGAAGAGGACTGGAAGTATTTGCTGCAGAAGGTCAAGGACTGCAGTCTTATATGGACTGAAGCTCACTGGACCAATTGGCAACACCATGACAGATGGAGAAGAGATTGTTAATAATTTCAGCTTGCTCAGCTTCACAATCAACATTCTTGATACTAGCAGTCAGAAAATAAAAAGATGAATTACATTGGGAAAATCTGCTGTCAGGAATCTCTCCAGAATTCTGTAGAACAATGATGTCAGTCTAGAGACTAAGGCACACCTGATCCAGTCCATGGTCTTCACTATTGCTTCCTATGGATCAGAGAACTGGACAATGAATAGGGATGATAGAAGGATAATTTATGCTTTTGAACTGTGGTGCTGGAGAAGAGTTTTGAACATACCATGGACTGCTAAGAGAACAAAAAAGTCTGTCCTAGAGATGGTGAAACCAAGTTGCTTATTGGAGGCAAGGATTTTGAAGCTCCATCTCACATACTTTGGCCACGATGCCAGGAGGGGTCTGTCCTTTGAGAAGGACATCATGTTTGAAAGGTGGAGGGACAGCACAGGAGAGGAAGACCCTGCATGAGAAGGATTGACACAGTAATGGGGTACATGTCGGAGCCAGTGAAATTGGCTCAGGATAGAGCAGACTTCAGAGCTATTGTGTGTAGGGTCACTATGAGTTTTAGTTGACTTGATGCCACCACCACCACCACTGGGCCAGTGGTCAACATCATGATAAAGGAAGGATATAAAAAGGACTTAAAAATGATAGAAGGATTGAAACAGTTAATTTCACCTTGCTTGGATCCACAAGCAAGATCCTTGTTCCCAATAGCCAGGAGGTAGGAGACATTGTTTTGGGCAAAACCACTGTCAGCGATCTCTCCAAAATACTGAAGAGCAGTGATAACAGTTTGAAGGACATGGTCTTTTCAATTACCTATTATACATCTGAGAACTGGACTATAAATAAGGATGACAGAAGAATTGATGTCTTTGAACTGTGGTGTTGGAGGAGAGTACTGACCTGTGGACTACCGAAAGAACAAACAGATAGGTCTTGGAAAAGGTGCAGCTGGAGTGCTCCTTGGTGGCAAGGATCACAAAGCTTCATCTCTTGTACTTTGGACATGTTGCTAGGAGAGGCTATTGCTTAGAAAAGGATACATACTTGGAAGGATAGTCAGAGAAATAAAGGAAGAGCCACACATAGGTGACTTGACATGGTGACTGCAGGAGTGGGTTCAAGTGTATCAGAGATAGTGAGGATGGCACAGGAT